CAAAAAAATTATCAAGTTTTTTCTAAATTATGCAGGGTGCATAAAAGCCCGGGGACAATTTTTAGTTACTAGATCTAGACCATAAGGTCAGAAACCAAATGTGTCGCGAGGCAGTGGAATCGGGCGCTCGTCAATTTTTGGGGCGTTTGGGGTCATTGGTATTATCTTAAAGCCTTTTCATTTGCCTTCCTTTTGGTGAAAAAAAATCCATCTTTGTTGGAAAGAAGTTGAAATGTTTGCGATTGAAGGAGGTCAGTGTCGTCTGGCTTCAGAAGTAAAATTAACGAGAAAATGGCCGCCAAATTTTGGTAACATCCATAGCCTGAGAGTTCTTGGAAACTGAAAATTTACTTTTTTGTGCCTTTAATCGACGTTTTTCAGTAAAAATCCACGCAAAAATGTGTTTTTAAATGGACATAAATGGAGCTAAAAAAATTTAAAGTAAGAAAAAATTGCCCATGGGCTCAAAAACAAAAATGCTGATTTCTTTGATTTAATTATTTTGAAGAGCGCCTGATTTCACCACGTTACTTCACAAATGCTCTATTTTCTCTAACAAAAGCCTTAAGATTACCGGAATCGTTTTCAAAATATGTTCGATCGAAGAACTGAATTTGAAAAATCTTGACATGATGCGAAGCTCAAAACCTTGTATGTCAAATTTCTCCCAACAAGGTAGATCTAGTGGGCAGATAGAACTTTGTCATTCAGAGGTGGCGATATAAGTCGTCGGTGGCCTAGTGGTTAGGCTCTCACACTCGCACCCGTAAGGTCGTGGTTTCAAATCCTGTCATGGGCCCGACATTGTGTCCTTGGGAAAGGCACTTTACACGAATTTTCCTCACTTCACCCATGTGGGAATGGGTACCCGGCTATTGACAGTGAAAGATCTTGTCAGTTTGTTAGTGTTTGAGCGCTTAACTCGCTGCTTGCACTGTATGCTTCCCGGGAAGCTGAGAATGTTTCTGAGTGTTCTATGGTCTGCAAGGCTATAACAATATATTGTAAAGCGTATAGAGCTTGCTGTCTATCAGGGATATGTGATAAACAAATTATGCCATTTATTATGATTATGATTATTATGATTAAATTATGATGATGATGATGATGATGATTTCTATTATTATTATTATTACTATTATTATTATTATTATTAGTAGTAGTAGTAGTAGTAGTAGTAGTAGTAGTAGTAGTACTATTATTTTTATTATCATTATTATTATTATTATTATATGTATTATTATTATTATTATTATTATTTATTATTATTATTATTATTATTATTATTATTATTATTATTATTATTACGTGTATTATTATTATTATTATCATTATTGTTATTATTATTATTATTATCATTATTATTATTATTATTATTATTATTATTATTATTATTATTATTATTATTATTATTATTATTATTATTATTATTATTATTATTATTATTATTATTATTATTATTATTATTATTATTATTATTATTTTTATTATTATTATTATCATTATTATTATCTAGGAGCCAGTCTTCGACCCTGCCTGTCAGGGCCAACATGAGCTAGGAGATATACAACGTCCCAGCAGAAAGACTGAGGTACTCCATGAAAATTCAACTCATATGATAATAATTATTGTGAGGAAGCGTGGTGGAATCAGGCTCTCGTCAATTTTTGGGCACATAGAGTTATTGGTATCATTCTAAAGCTTGTTCACTTGTCTTTATTCGGATGAAAAAAATATCCGTTTATCTTAAATACAAGTCGAGATATTTGAGAATGAAGGAGGTGGGGGTCACCTGTTTTCACAGGTAAAATTAGTGAGAAATTGGCCGCCAAAGAAATGCTATTTCCTTAGCTTAAGGGTCCGTGATAACTGAAAATTTACATTTTTGTGCCTTTAATCAACGTTTTTCAGAAAAATCCACACAGACATGAATTCATTAATGGACATAACAGGTTGGGCCAAATTTTTTTTTTAAATTGATAAAAATTAACAAACCTGCGGAAAAATGCAAGTTTCTTCACATTGATTATTTTGACGTGAGCCTGACTCCACCGCCCTGCCTCACAATTATAAATACGATAGATACCAGTATGTAGTAGGAAACAGGAGACGACCAGGTATGAGCACCCGCCGACCACCCACATTATGATCATATGTCTATGCCTGCGCTTTTGTTTTTGAAAAGAAATAAATTACGTGCATGAGTATCGGAATCGGGTCTTCTGTGTGCGTGAGCGAAGCGCGTGTCTGTTCCACCATAGATGCCGGTAGAAAATCAAGGACTAACCAAAGTAACAAGTAGGGCCTGAAGTGAGGTCAAAACTTCGTGGCACAACTTATCCTCAAATATCTCTTTCACGGGTGACTCAGTGTCACCCATACTTTGCACATCTGTTAGAATCAATTTGTCTTAACCTAATCACATTTTTTTCACAACAATTAAGAGGCTATACTTTTTTATCCTTCATAAACTCATATAAAATAATAAAATCTCCGTCGTGCGGAAATTTGGATTTTTTACGGCACTTCCCACTTGTCACACATATTTTGCATACGGATGTATGGCCTACGTCACAGCTCAACAATGACACAATTAGTGTAAACTTGTTGCTAGAAATTAATCTTATAGTGGACACTTTTTTTTTTGCATTAAAAGTTCTCAAAATATGCGCTCAATTAGCATAATGTCGCGGTTAGAAAATAAAAATGACGGACTTGCTTTTTAAAGCGATATTGCCCCAGCTGTAAACTTTTAAAAATCTGTAGAAACCATCTAGGAGGTTTTTAAAAAGTAGTATTCAAGAAGGAATTTTCTAGAATATAGTGTACAGGTGTTTGAAAAAAATGTTCACCTGTTAAGAAAAATTGATACATGTACATAGGTCATTGTGCATCTATGTTCAATAGTTAAAGAGATATTTAACAATAAGTTACGTCACGATTTTTTTACCACAGTATAGTAGGCAAACGACAAAACAAATTTGTCACGGATCCTTTCTTGTGACGTTGAAATGTAATTTAGGCGTTTAAAAAAACTTAATCAAAGGCTGAAAAAAACGTATTTTACTGTTCTTTCCCCATAAAAACATACTGATCTCAGTATTTTAAAACAGAATCTAGTGTTTCATTCGGGAAGTTGCGGGTTCGTGGGTTCAAGCCTCAGACCTGATGTTATGTCATAGGGAAGGCACTTAATACGAATTGTCCTCACTTCACCCTGGTGGGAATAGGTACCGGTACCTGGCCAAAGACAGTCAAAGAGCTTGTAAGTATGCAACTGTTGTGTTAGCGCCCGTAAAATGGCAGCTTGCACTGCATTCATGTACCTCCCAGGAAGTTGAGATTGTTTCAGAAGGCTATCAGATCTACAGGGGTTGAAATAAAAATTGTAAAGCGCATAGAGTTTTCTGTTGAGCGGGAATTTGCGCTATACAAATCATCTCTATCTATCTATCTATCTATCTATCTATCTATCTATCTATCTATCTATCTATCTATCTATCTATCTATCTATCTATCTATCTATCTATCTATCTATCTAACTATCTATCTATCCGTCCGTCTATCTATCTGTCTGTCTGTCTGTCTGTCTATTTATCTATCTATCTATCTATAATAATAATAATAATAATAATAATAATAATAATAATAATAATAATAATAATAATAATAATAATAATAATAATAATAATAATGATAATGATATTATTATTATTATTATCATTATTATTTCATTTCATTTCGGTTTGTGTACTTCAGATAATATGAAAGCCTGGGCAAGGAAAAGATTTCAAACGTACTACAACAAACGTCAGAACCCTACACTAAAGAGGATCACAATAATAATTGCCTTTTTTTCCCTGGATCGGGGTGTAGGCCACCAACAAACTGTTCACGCGTGTCCCTGTCTTGGGATAGTTTCTTGACATTGGGTTACCTTAGAATTACAAAGTTCTGACATTTTTGGCCGTTTCGAGTTATTATAATAATAATAATTGCATTTATATAGCGCATATCCATGCTCAAGAGCATGCTCTATGCGCTTTACAACTATTATTACCCCAACAGACCCTCTGAGAACACACAGAAACATTCTCAGCTTCCGCAGAATCATACAGTGCAAGCTGCGGATTTCACGCGCTCAAACACTATCAAACTGACAAGATCGTTCACTGTCTATAGCCAGGTACCCATTTCCACCTGAGTGAAGTGAGGAAAATTTGTGCAAAGTGCCTTTCCCAAGGTTACAACTTCGGGCCCCTGACGGGATTCGAACCCACGACCTTACGGTTGCAAATCCGAGAGCCTAACCACTAGGCCACCCGTAAGATCATGGGGTCAGATATTAACAATTCTATTAGATCCGCTCCTTCAAAATTGTAAGATAGTTCGGAGTCGTTATCAAGATATTCAAAGAACTACATTCGAAAAAGCTTAACAAGATGTGAAACTAATTTTTTCACGTCAATTTGTCTAAACTAGGTAGGATTACTGAGCAGACAGAACTATGTAAATTTAAAGTAGTGAGTTATAGTCTTTTCAATTTCTGTACGTCATTCCCAGTGGCTTTTCTCCCGGTCCCACGTAAACCTTCAGAGTAGAGCTTCCGCCAAGCTTTCAATCATTTTTACTGGATGGGGGGGGGGGGGGGGGGGAATCTGATTTTAATCTTTTTGGTTTAGTGATTAAATATTAAGTCTAGATCTAGACTTGGATGTCGTTGTTTTATGAAGAATTTTCTTAAAAATTAGAGAATGAAAGAGAAAAATGTTATCCCATAGTGGTTATACTAAAACTAAGAAGAAATATCAGTGTGATAGAAAGACATACATTTTATTGTCTTTATCAATTTTCTGTTGAACAATGCGTATCAACTTCCACCCCGCCCCCATCAACAAAAACAAAACAAAACAAAACAAAGCAACAAAAAAAGAAGAAACAATAAAAGAAAGCACATACACACTCGTGAGTCTGCCTTACCGTCCTGTCTTACTATTCCACTATTCCCGGTCTTCCGTTTTCTGTTCATTTTCTTTAGATTTTACGAAAAAGGGGAATACTTGATAAAAAGTCTCCTTATATTTCGAACTCATCTTGAGATAAATGAAAATGTTCACAGTTGAGCTGATGGCCTCAAAGATGTAGGCAAAGGACCAGGACACGTGGAAGATATTGGTGTAGCGTTTCCCTTTACCAAATTCTGGCTCTAGTGACATGCCAATCTGAATGGCGTTGATGGGCAGGAATGTGATGATAAAGATGGAGGAAATGATGGCCACCATTTTCCCAATTCTCTTGTCGCGTTCGCTGGCCCCTTCCGACTTGCCCGCCATTGTGGACTGCTGTCTCCATTTACTTTTCTTTTTCAGTCCTACAATTAAGACAAGCGTGCACACAGACACACACAGAAATGAGCAAACAGCTATGAAACTTCCTAGACCAAAAGTCAGTCTGTCTATCATTTCACGATTCTTGATAAACACAAGTCCAAGAAGGGTTTTATTTCGCCCCGGATAAAATTTCCAGTCCATTCTCGTTGTGTAGTACACCGGAATCAAACTGGCGGCCATTGTGACGTAGATCGTGATAAGAACCCACTTTGTTCTCGTAGGGGTGATCAGGGTCCTAACTTTGAGAGGGAACAGCACGCAGATACATCTTTCAAACGATATGAATGCCGTGCACCAGCTTATGATTCTAGTAAAACAGACTCTGGGCATTCCCGAGAGAAGATACGAGACTTCGTTTGCTTTGAAGGGCACGATATCGGAATAGAGAAACACGGGATTGTAGCAGAGACTCATCAACAACAGGGCCAGCAGACTCCCCATATCGGCAATGGCTAGGCCAAACAGCGTCATGTTCACCGTGTCTCGCAGTCCTTGCTTGACGAAGACCACCAAATTGATGACGTTTGTGCACACACCAAACGAGCAGACGATGGCGTAGATGGAGACGATGTTCAGAAGTAAGAGGACGTTGGTCGTTTGGTCGTCAATGATCTTCCCGTCTGGCGAGGGGCCGCTCGTCTCAATGCTGGAGTTCATTTCAAGGTGAAGGACGCTCACTTTGTCGGGAGACCAAAATGGCTGTCTGTGTATCCCAATATCAGACGAGTCAGCAACAGGGTCGTTTGAGAGTGGCGATTCTGATGAAGCCACGCAGTCTCAGTCTTTCAGTTCAAATAACACCACAGTATTATAAATTGAATCAAAGAAGGCCCGCTACTCTTGACTATAAGAAATGCTTTCAAGTTGCCTTTTATTTTTATAACGAAATTGAATTAATACAAAATGTCCTTATTCAGGTGAAAACAAGTGTAGACTATTAGTTTTTTTGGACTTAAAAACGTATTTCTTATGTTCATCCCGTTTATCTGTACGTACAACATTGCACCATTCAATACGGTTGACAAGTTGTAATGGAACTCCACCCTCCCCAACACGCCTTTCATTTCCCAATATATTTCTTGTCTACCCATAATCTTTAGATAATTGACGTCATATATCCGGAGACTTGTTTTTCCAAATGTTAAACAGATTTAGAAATGGTCACCCCAGACAAGCACACAACTAGATAGCAATTATTAACGTGAATAAAGTGAGTAGATAATGCGCTCGCGAGAAAGAGCTCCACGTTTATTGGCCAACTCACACCACTTAAACGTATCGTCCATTTACTTAACAAATCATTATCTGGTAAATGCTTTAATTGTTCCGTTTAGTTACTCGAGTTCCTTCCAATATTAGGGCGATTAAGTCATTTTGATGAACGCCCGATTTCTTTGTTCATTTTACTGTGCTTAGGTGGGAGTGACTGAGGCATTTTTGTAGCAATGCGCATGTCACTACTTGACACCTCGACATCAGACATGTGATTTTACACAGAAGAATGCTTTGTGCTAAAAGTACAGACAAAAGAAGGAGTGAAAGTTTTGTGAAAGAATTTGAAATACAACTTTGTCATGCTCTCTGAGATCAGCGGAAGGGGGCTCAAAAGCAAGAAATATTGGTAGCATTTATTATAATGATATTTTCTTTTAAATAGAGCATATAATATGTGCTCTCTGTGAGTATTCTCTATGCTCTCTGTGAGTATTCTCTATGCTCTCTGTGAGTATTCTCTATGCTCTCTGTGAGTATTCTCTATGCTCTTTGCAAACAAATATTTTGGTCACGCAAATAGAATTACCACAAAAAAAACCCCCCCAAAAAAACAAACCCACAGACCCTGGGACAAACCTGCACTGTAGGAAAAACATGGACCTAGAGGCAAAATGGTTTTATAACACGACACACAGCCTGTTTGATGGGGAAGAGATAGAAAGAGTAAGCAGTTAGGAATATTTCGTAATCAACATTGAGGAAAACGGGAAAACAAGCCCAGCGAACTACAGTATTCCAACAGCGAAATTAAAAAAGATGGCATCTATATGGAAAGGGCATTGTAAAAATATGAAAATATGAGTTCTATTTTATTATAAAAAGTACCTTTCCACAACGCGGACAAGTCAGTACATTATTATGCGAAGCATGAATCATCAGGGAACAAGATTTTTTAAAAAATAAAATAATTAGTTTTTGAAACGAAATGTGTCACGTCAGGGTGGAATCAGACGCTCGTCAATTTTATTTTATTTTATTTTATTTTATTTTATTTTATTTTATTTTATTTCATT